AGATAATACCACATGCAAATCTTAGCACAGGTCAGGCTTTTGCCCATCAAAGCAAGAATACAGGAAGCTTCTCTACATGTCTAGTAAGTCTGCAGCAAATTCAGTGCCTGAGGCCCCAATGAAAATGAAAGAACACAACTACGGCTCTCTCTCAAACTGAGAGAAATCAAGGCTTGCATTCATAGACACCTGAACCACAAGGCCAGTGATGGTGAACCTATGGCACGCATGCCACAACTGGCACACAGAGCCCTCTCCATGGGCACACGAGCCATGAGTTGCCATAGAGAAATGCATACCCATCCACCAATCCCGGATTTCAGAACTCTCCTCTGTTGGTGCAGTGGTCCAGCGGATGCGTGCAATGGTGACCATTACCGTTCTAGCCCAATGCGGGATTGGAGGACCAGTAAGTATTTATTTGTTAATACTGCCCATGGGCGAAAAAAAAAAAACATTTAACGCTTGTAGTGCAGGAGTAGTTGTTTTTTCTAAACCAAAACTCAGCATTTGGGGTTTAATTGCAGTATTGGCACTCTGAATTAAATAAGTTGATTTTGTGTTGTAGTTTGGGCACACAGGCTCAAAAAGGTTCACCATCACTGCTCTAGAATATATGTATGCATCTTATCTCAGCTATCTTCTTCTCCTGTCTAGTTTGGTAGTTATGTGATTTTTAATTATTTTTTCTATCATAGTAACTTGCAGATCATTTGTACAGTATCCTGTTTCTATATGAAGTCTTCATCTAGCTTGAGAAGGAGTTCAGAACAGTATTCCCCAATCCCACTTTCTTCCAAATCTAAACAATTCCTAGAATTGCCATGGCACACTGCCAGCCATCATCTTTCATATATTGCAAATTTACAATAAAAATGGCCAGTATATGGGCTGTTAAGATGTCCTATCAATTTGATCAGTTCCTGTTAAGATGAATTACCAACTAGACCAGTTTAAAACTAGATAAAATGAAACAGTGATTTCCACAAGTCCCATCAAAGCACTCTGTGGTCCGAGTCCAAGACCTTCATGACATTTTGTGTGCACGTGCATGCATAAAAACACACAGATATCTTAGGGAGAAATCTTGGACCTCTATGACTTCTGGCTATGTAAATACTGGAAATACCAGTGATAATCACAAGATGGGTAAATGCAAAAAGGATTGACTTGGCATATTTCAAGATTACCCTAATCATATCCAGCTTTGCAACATCCCATGGCAAACATAAATTCTAGTTTCAAGATATATGAAAAACAGTGTTCTATTCTAGGCTTCAAAAATCAATATTTTTACAGTTATTCAAAACATTCATTCATGTATTTAAAACATTTATTACATTTATCATATCAGTGCAAGAAAAAAATTAATAAAATCAAGCAGAAAAACAAACATAAAAGTAGCAGTATGTATACTGCATAGTATATATTCCTGCACATTGTTTCTTCATCAAACCAGTCTGAGTCAGGCTGGTGTAAATGATATATATAGAATGGTTGGGAAGCATGGATGGACACATTTTTGAATTCACTATGGGGGCTTGCATTGACCCAAAGATCAAACTTTTCTAATTGTCTAACTTTCTGTATGTTTATGGGCTGCCATCAGTGAAATCTTAACACCACTTGATAAGACCGTTTTATTTGTCTGCATCTCACCCCACATAAACATTAAAGACTGTTGTTCCAGCCCTCCGCCCCAATCTTGCCTGATAAGACAGTAATTTGGGAAGCTTGCAGACTTTGGGGGGGGGGCAACTTTTTAACAGGCATAATGAAGGTATTTTCTCATTACAGATCTGATAAATTGTTCTGTGCCAACAAGGTTACCCTTGCTTTCAGACGCTAATAATGATGTGTGCACCAAGTAGAATTGATTTACAGTGACCCTCCTAGGGTTTTCTAAGCATAAAGTATGGCAAACTCCATCACTCCCACATGCTCCAGGTAGCTGGCCCCTCTTCCAGGAGGCCCATTTGATATTTTATTTGATTGATTGATTGATATACTGCTCATCTGACCAATCGCCACTCTGATCAATACACAAGCGATCCCAAAACATAAAACAACATAATTTTAACCCCAGGTAGGAACTGACCCACTGAATTATAACAGCTTTTTCAGATAATAGTGGGTTCTCTTTCCTACCTGACCCAGCCAGCCTGATCCATGATGTGTCATAATATCAAGAGTTCAACAATAGCTGGAGGGTCAAAGGGAGTCCAATCTCGAAATATTGCACCAACAGATAATAGATATTCAAATAAATATCAGGCAAAATCCAAGAAACAAACTGAACAAAAAGACAAAAACATGTGGCACCTTAAAGACTATTATACTGTATTTTAATGTCAACTTTCGTGGACACATCCACTTTGCCAGACCTAAAGAAACAGAATGAAATGTAGATAAAATATCAGTTTCACATTCTCGATGTTCATTGGATACATGGGAGTAATTAGGCCTATGTTGTAAAAATTCTTCAAGAAGACAGAAAACAGAGACCAGGTCTGAGCAGAGATGAGATGGGCGGAAGAGAGAGAAGGGGTGGTTGGGTTGGGGGATAAGTGAAGACGCAATTAAATCTCAAGAAGGGAAAGAAAGAAGTTAGTAGAAGAACCAGGTGTGTTAATGTAGGGAACAGAGACAGTTTTTACCTCAGAGTCTTGTGATGAGAGATGGGCTCGGTAGTTGTGAAGAAAATAACAGTGGCAGAGGATTAACAGCAGAAGTGCTACATTTGGTAATGCCAAATGTACAGACTTATAAATCATCCTCACCTTAGAACTGCAGAGCTGGAAAACCCTATATTGCACAGAATAGCAGGGATACCTCTTCTAAAACTCCAAATATTCAAACACATGTTTATGTGTACTGTTTGACGCTCTCCACCCCTCCTGATTTCTAACCGGCTGTGTCACTGACCCCAGGCTTAAAGTTGTTGTGTTTGTAGCAGGAAAGGCACATGATTGAAACAAGCGGTAGGGAGAAAGGCATTCTGCCCACAGCTGCGTACTCGAAAGGGGATTCCGCTGGTTCCCAAAGCAACCACATCTGAGATCGCCCAAACGCCAGAGCTTTGCTCTCTAAATATTTCCATGGTCGGGGAAAAGGTGGCCCCGAAGAGCCTGCCTCAACGAGCCGGAATCTTTGCAAGGCTGAATAAATGCGGTGGCGTGGGGCCCTCCTTAACAACGCTTGGCTCTTGGTGGTTGCTAGGGGAGGGGGATAGTACTTCCGGGCGAAACAGAATCGCTTCCGGGAAAGAGAGAGAGAGAGAGAGAGAGAGAGAGAATCTTTGGGGGGTGGAGGTAAGAGGTATGTGGGGCTCTGGGGCAGAAGCGGGGGTGGGGAGGAGAGGAGATCGGGTTATAATGCTGCCCCTTTGATGTGCTTTAAATATGTGTGCAAAAATAGGTTGCAGGCTCTTATTCTGTTCTGTTTTATATGAAAAAGAAGGTTCTTCCTCGTCTTTTGTCTTCTGGGGACCAGCCTCTGCATTCGTCGCTATGGAAAAAATTGCAGCAGAATCCTGTATGTTTGTCCTGAACATGCTAAGACGTTGCGTTTAGGTCTCTCTTTTTATTGCACAAGCTCCTGCTTCTCTCTCCCTCTCCCCCCCTTTTTTTTGTTTCCCCTCCTAGCTGCTTGAAAAATCAGCTTTTGTTACTCCCCAAATACCTAGTAATTAGTCTAGTCTTTTCCCCCGGGGTGGGAGAGAAGGAAAGTAGGTCAGAGGATCTTACTTGATCCGTTAGTCATTTAATGGGGGTAAAAGCAGCCTCTGGAAATGGGGGAAGGTATCAGGAAAGTGGCAGCAAGAGGACTACTTCACAAAGAGTGACACTTAAGGCGTTAACACAAAAAACCTTCCTGAATAGTTTGTAGGATCAAGAACAGCATTTTGGAAGAAGGCGTTTCAGGCTTGAATTCTGATAGTTATTGAAACTCAGTGCTTGAAGTGGGCAGTAAGCCAACCCATTTCTGATTGCCACTTCCTTCTTTTTGAGGATTAATACCTAGAATTTGTAAGGTTGTGTTTTCCCCCCAGGTATTCTAAGTATTAATCCACCTACCTCCTGTTGTTAACTCTTCGTGACCCCATGGACCAGAGCACGCCAGGCCCTCCTGTCTTCCACTCCCTCCTGGAGTTGAGTCAAATTCATCTTGGTAGTCTTCTGTCATCCCCTTCTCCTCTTGCCTTCACACTTTCCCAACATCAGGGTCTTTTCCAGGGAGTCTTCTCTTCTCATGAGATGGCCAAAGTATTGGAGCCTCAGCTTCAGGTTCTGGCCTTCCAGTGAGCACTCAGGGTTGATTTCCTTCAGAATGGATAGGTTTGTTCTCCTTGCAGTCCAGGGGATTCTCAAGAGTCTCCTCCAGCACCACAAGTCAAAAGCATACATTCTTCGGTGGTCAGCCTTCTTTATGGTCCTGCCTCCTGTAGCCACCATTAATTCACAGATTGCACCTCTTTACAAGCAAAACTATTGTACAAATAGAAACCCAATATCAAGCTTCAGGAAATGAGATTCCATCTAAACATTAGGAAGAACTTCCTGACGGTCAGAGCTGCCCAGCAGTGGAATAGGCTGCCTCAAAGGTTGGTGGGGTGTCCTTTGGAGGTTTTTAAGCAGAGAATGGATGGCCATCTGTTGGGAGTACTTTGATGGATGTTCCCGCATGGCAGGGAGTTGGACTGGATTGCCTCAGTGGTCTCTTCCAACTCTATGATTCTATTTAGAAATCAGGTAGGATGAATATTTCATTTGTCCAGTTGATGGACAGCACAGTGGAGAGTGCTGGGGTCCCATTTGTGATCTTCCTGTATATTCTTAAATTAGGCCACCATGTATTTTTATGTGGCATGTTAAAGTTCTAACGGGATGTCTTGTTCTTTTCATTTAAGTCAAAGATAGGCAAAGTTTGGCCCTCGAGATGTCATTGAATTGCATCTCCCAGCACTGTGCTAACTAGAGCTGCAAGAATGGAAGTCTTTACAACATCTGGGGGCCACATTTTGCTCATCCCTGATGGAATGGATTGCCTGTCTCCCTGTGTTTGTGCTAAGGTTTTTAAGATCTTCATCCAAGACTTTCATCTGGGAGCCCCCTACTACCTGGTTAGGCATGTAGATGATTGCTGGGGAAACTCTTTCAGTGGTGCTACCCTCATCTTTGAAGTACTTTCCTAGAAAGGCTCTACTGACATTTAACTTAATGCCATTCCAGTGTCAGACAAAGGCCTTTTTATTTTTCCCTTGCCTTTAAATTTATTTCAGATAATTGTATCTCCATTGCATGATTTTATGATGCTTTTAATGTCATAGTTATTAATATGTGTTTTATGTATTTTAATTGCTTCTGTATTCTTGATACTGTAAGCTAATGTTGGGCAGATAATAAATCTGGATAATAAACAAATAGGCAAGTAATTTAGAGCAGTAGAGGTGATTTTAAATTGCTTGATTGAAATCATCCCACCCTGGAAAACATCCAGCTATTTATGTTAACAAATAGGTGCGTTGAATTTGTTGCTTTTGTTGGATTAGGCAGTGGATCAGCAGTAAATTAGGCACACCATTTCTTCTCTCTCTTTTTTTACTTCCACATTAATGTGTTCAGGTTTCATCCAGTTACAGATTTAGATCATGCTACATAGTCAGACAGCATCTTAAAAAGCAGAGACATCACCTTGCCAACAAAAGTCCGCATAGTCAAAGCTATGGTTTTCCCTGTAATGATGTATGGAAGTGAGAGCTGGACCATAAAGAAAGCTGCCCACTGAAGAATTGATGCTTTTGAACTGTGGTGCTGGAGGAGACTCTTGAGAGTCCCCTGGACTGCAAGGAGATCAAACCTATCAATTTTGAAGGAAATCAACCCTGAGTGCTCACTGGAAGGACAGATCCTGAAGCTGAGGCTCCAATACTTTGGCCATCTCATGAGAGGAGAAGACTCCTTGGAAAAGATCCTCATGTTAGGAAAGTGTGAGGGCAAGAGGAGAAGGGGACGACAGAGGATGAGATGGTTGGACAGTGTCATAGAAGCAACCAACATGAATTTGACACAACTCCGGGCGGCAGTGGAAGATAGGAGGGCCTGGCGTGCTCTGGTCCATGGGGTCACGAAGAGTCTGCTAAACGACTAAACAACAACATAGTCTGGGGAGGTCTAAATTTCCTCATCCTACCTTCTTTCACTTTTACATTCTCCCTTACAACATGCAAGGGCTTAAAAAGAAAGAAGTGAGGTTTTTCCTTTTAAACTTGTTTCCAGAGTAAGAATTTAAGGGGCAAAATCCTGTTGGTGTAACACTGCTGTGTAAATCAGATCTGACACCAGAAACATTTAATTTAGTTCAAATTAATGTATTTCAAGGTTCTTTGGACAGCAAGATATGTATTTGTTGCTCAGCTTACAAACCTGAGAATAAGCATTATACTTGTTGAATAATATGAAACCTCTCACACATCTTTCCAGTTTCAAAGAAATCAAGACAGTTTAAATAAACAATAAAACTGAACAATTAACCGTAAAATAATTTCAAGAAAGCATAAATATTAATTAGCTCTAAAATAATTTCAAGAAATCATAAGCATGTAAGACATAGAACATTAGAGAACCTACAAACAGTGGTTTCAGGCTAAGAAAAGATTTTAAAAAACCTTGTGGGAGAGCTTTGTTACAGGTGCAAATTTCAGTAAACAGAAGAAGAAATAAATTTCCCATAGCAAAAAGGGGCTAGGATTTGGAAAAAGGTAATACTAGCCAACACCTTGGATGGTGGGGACATTTTGGTAAGTGGGTATCCTACTCTTGAGTAATTTAAGCATTTTATTTGCTTCCACCGTTTTTGTCGCTGACATTTATAAATGGCTACCATGACAAATATGTCCCACCATCAAAATGCCTGTTTTTGTTGCAGAAACAAGAGCTCTGAAATTATTGGAAATAGTGTTGACATGGCTGCTGAACAGGACTTCTCACCCCCTGAAATTCCTGAACCTACATTCATGGAGAACGTCCTCCACTATGGCCTTTTCTTTGGTGCCATTTTCCAGCTCATCTGTGTATTGGCTATAATCCTTCCCATTCCAAAGACTCACAAAATGGTAAGCTGTTCTTATATGTGGAGAGTGAAGCTTCTAACAAAAAACATGTTTGGGTCTTGTAATTGAGTGACCATTGAGCAATATTATTATCTGATTTTCTCGTATTGGTCCACTTTTTTCCCTTTAAATTAGGATGTAGGTAGACATCATAAACATCATGGATTATAATTTTCACTTCCTGCCAGGACATTTTCCCTAAAACAGGGGTTAGCAGCTCACAGCTTGGGTGAGTCTTTCAGCTTTACATAGCTTTCTCTGATTCAATCAGCTTCTGCTGGTCAGAACACAATTTTAATACGTGCAGCACCCTTCTAGGGAAGCTTCACCTCCTTGTCAGGTTATTGTGCAATAGAGGACCATGTATTGGGCTCAATTACCATATGGATGTTTGTAGAAAGAAAGTTACCTTTTGTTGCTTTTGTTGTTACTACAACTTCCAAAAAAACCATGCAGGAAAAAGGGTCAGGTAGCAAATGATTATTTGAAGTTATATCTTCATTGATTTACAAAGCTTGTAAAAGTTACTTTTGGGGGTCTGTATCTAGGGACGTGGTGGTGCTGCAGGTTAAACCCCAAAAGCCTCTGGGCTGCAAGGTTGAAAGATCAGCTGTTCGAATCCATGTGACGTAGTGAGCTCCCATTGCTTGTCCCAGCTCCTGCCAACCTAGCAGTTCAAAGTGTGTCAATGTGAGTAGATAAATAGGTACCATCATGGTGGGAAGGTAACAGCATTCCGTGTCTAGTCGTGCTGGTCATGTGACCACGGAACCTGTCTACGGACAAACGCTGGCTCCATGGCTTGGAAACTGGGATGAGCACCGCCCCCTAGAGTCGGACACAACTGGCCAAATTATCAAGGGGAACCTTTACCTTTTCCTATCTCCCAGAACCAAAGCGTGGAGGACAGGATTCTGGGAACAGCAGTTCCCCAAGTAACGTTTATAAACTCTGAGCAATATACTCCTAGCCTGATTGAAGCTAGAAGTAGAATAGCATCTTGCCTGCCCAAAAGGAGCATCTGGGCCATCATTATGTTTCCTGTTTAGCTTCAAAGCATTCCTCTGCCCCCATTTCTTAGCATACAATTTGTTCCAGAATCCTCTGTTTTTATCATGTACACTTTTGGGGGAATTCTAGTTGTTTGTGGCTCTGCAACCAAATATTTTGAATGTTTATAGATTTTCAAATACAGTAACCCCAAACATGAAATAGTTTGTTATAAATACAACAAGAAGTTACGGTTATTGATCGACTAATTTAGCTCTAAAATAATAATCTTGAATCCGGCCAAAAACTCTGTGAGTTTTAATTTAGAAAATCCTGGTCGGGGTTGTTCCTTGTTCAGTGTACAGCTGGTAGTGATGGTATTTTGAATAGAATATCCATTTCTGCCTAAGTTGTAAAGACCATTGTCTGGTATATATTTTTAAGTAACCCCCCCCCCCAAAAAAAGGCGGAGGGGAAAGATTAAAGCTTTCAAGTTATTGTAACTAGCCCAAATTTATTTTGTGAGTATGATGGCATAGCTCCAGCTGCATCTTTTAACCGTTGGCAAGGTCTCTTCCACCCCATACCCCCAGTCGTTTAATGGTTAGCCTTATTCCTGGTTTCAGTATCTTTGCATGATTAATCTTTTCTTTCAGACACCTGGTATTTCATGAGCATACAGTAAAGATACTGGCTAAAGTTTAGATAACGTGTCAATAAATTAGCTATAAAATGTGGTTGCGAGAACATTCAAAAATCTTTTTCTTTTGAACAGAAGCTGTTTCATTTCCTGAAGATATACTAAAATCAGAACCTAATATATTGGCCTATATTAGTCCTCTATTTTAGGCCTTGATGAAGAATATTTAGGATCTGCGTCCCACTGGAGGCCACACTGAGCTCTGAAAACACAGGGTGATGGTGGGAAAAAAAGATAGGAAGTGGCTGGAAGTCCCAGTTTGAGGGGAAATCTTCCTTAAATATTTATTTTGTTTATTTTATCAAAATAATAGTTTTCCAGGAATGGCCCACAGGCTGCAAAAATGACCTTGAAGGTAATGAAGCCTCAGGATTCATTTGTCCCAGCACAGATCTTTGCTTACAACAAAGTATCACAGAAAATTGTGGCACATCTATCCTTACAGTGGCTGGAAATATTCCCTTTCTATGTTCCTTATCCAGTCTTGCCCCACATCCACCTAAAGGCTACCTTTGTTAAGAATCTAGTAGTTTAGTTAGCTGTATCCGATGACTAGGCCAGTTAACCAGTTACATCAGCAAACCAAGATGCTTCTTTGAGTCATAGATGCATTAACATGTTTAAACAGGGGAGAAATAAAGCCTGTGGGTTGATTTGAAAAGATACATGAGCAGTAAAAATACTAGGAATGCAGAAATTGCAAGATTGGATTAGAACAGTGATGGGAATCATGGCCTTCCAGGTGTTGTTCGACAGCAGATCCTGTTCTTCATGATTGCCTGTGTTGGCTAAGGCTGATAGAAACTGTAGTCCAATGGTTCCCAACCTTGGGTCCCCAGATATACTTGGACTCCAACTCCCAGAAATCCTGGCCACACAGCAAGTGATGAAGGCTTTGGGGAATTTTAGTCCAAGGACATCTGGGGACCCAAGGTTGGAACCACTGCTGTAGCCCAACAGTGCCTGAAATATAAAATTATTGAGATTTTAATCACTGGTGGGCTGCACAAATAAGCCTTGAGGATCAACAGATAAATCTTCGCTAGATTAGACCTGTTGTCTGCCCAAGCCAGTATTGTCATACCTGACAGTGGCAAGAATCCTACCAGTGGTTATCTTTGTTGCCTAAAGGTCTAGTATATTAACACTAAAAATGAAAGCCACTTACATTATTTAGGTGTCAATGCTGTGTAATGATTGCACACCAATGTAATTTTTAGTTATATGCTTAAACTATTAAAGCATTCTCATAAAAAATTAAAAGGGAGAGTAGGAAAGAATAATACATTTGTTTTTGCAATCACATTATATTCAAGGTGTGGGCATTTGCATTTAAAAGTAATTAGCTTGTTATCATTCCAAAGCTCCCAAAGCAGATAATTACTATTATAGTTAAATGCCTTAAAAATAACACTTTGCTTTCTCAAGCCTCAAAGTAACTTGACATATATAATTGTAATTACTTTTAAAGAAACATTTGAATGCTACAGGGGTCTGACTTTTTTTAAAAAACAAAAAAAACCTCATTCACTCCCATCCACCTTATCATCACTTCAACATCCACAAGAAAGCACAAGACAGCAACATAAAACACAACACAGATCAACATTTGAATGAACCATGCAATGTTTCTCCTCCACAGTTTGGGGGGGGGGCATTCCTATAACTGGAAAAGTAACTGAGATGGTATCATTATACTATTAAAGGAATTACATTTCTTTGTGACATTACAATTGTAATGTAATTTAGTTAAACTTCCATTGTTGGAAGAGGGGGTTCACTATGAGTAAGTTGTTCTATGTAAGTACTTACAACCTGAACACACAGGATGGAGCAGGATTGGCTGTGGTTTCTTGTCAAGAGTTTGCCATGTCTTTCTTGTGGAAAGGCTCTTACAGCATACTTCTAGATATGTTGACTTGGCAGTCAGGCCTACTGAACTCTTAATATTTTCAGCCTTTGTAATATACCAGGGTTTTAACTATACAAAGTTAGTAAGCTTTCCCCCCCCCCCCAAAGATCTGCTTGCAATTTTTTATACAGTAGAACTGCAGCGTGGGCTTCCCCAATCCTTTCCAAAAAGAAACATAGTTCTGAGCTTCTAATCGGGGGTGACCCATGTCCCAAGCAGGGAGGGGTCTATGTATGTGTGTGTGTGCTCATTCTGTAGTGGTAGGCTCCCCCTGCCCCCCCTCCTCTCTCCTTTTTGAACTGCAGGCTACTAGTGCCTGAATCATCCAGCTACTTTTACTAACTGTCTTACTGAATTGCACAAATGTGGTTGCCCGTTGAATTGTTTTAAGCAATACATTCTACTTCCCTGATATGGCTGGGAAATGGACAAGTTGAATGACTTGATTGGGAGCTGGACAGCAGTGCATATCCTGGGGGAAGGAGCCATTGTGAGACTCTGCCATGTGTTTTTCTTTCTAAAATCACTTCTGAGTTGAAACCTAATATACAAGCCAGGATGCTCCTTAATCATGGTAGGGGCTCAGCTTGCTCCAGTTTCCTCCACATCCCGAGCACCTTACATTTGCAGAGGAATCTGCCTTTGGAGGCTTGCCTCAAATCAGACATTAGAAGACAACAGTGATCTTTTTGCAATGGCTGTGAACTTTTAGACCCTGAATAATAAATGGCACTTAACTCCATTTCTCTGGAGGATTGGAGCTCTTCTGGCCAGCTTCCTGGGAGTGAATCATATCCTTTGGGAAGCAAGCCAGATCTCCTTTCGCGGAAGGCCGCATGAGCATCAATGGCAAGAGCCTCGTTGCTTGAAAGAGGTCTGAGCTGAGCCCCATGACGATAAAGATACTGTCAGCTGTCCTCCCTAATGCAGTGTTATCTGCACTGTGTTCTTAGAAGCTTGTTTCTCTGCCAGTATGGTGTTGCCTTTTCCAGTTGGCACACATGGACTTCAATGCTATCCAGAAGCCTAAAACAATATTTATACCAAAGCTTGCTTAATGAGCGGAAGCAATCTGTGCATATATGTGACTTCTTCCAGGAACCTGGCTCTCTTCCCATGCATGTGTGGGATTCCTTTTTTCCCTTCCTTTCAACAAAATGCTGAGACACTGATTTCCCATAACAGAAATATTTTCTGCAGTCATCTCTCATGGACTGCAGTAAACATTTGATTGGTGGAGGAAAAAGAATTCTCATCATTAGATTTTTTTTCAGGTTTAGAATGGGTTCATTTTAAGATTGATTCATACGTGTCATTACCTTGTGAACATACGCAGAAAACCAGTTTTGACTTTATTTTTTCCCCCCCACAAAATTTTAATAGGATGTTGAAAGCTTTGAGATGAAAAGTTCAGAAGTGATTAAGAAGCCCAAAGCAGCCACTGCATCATTAAGTAAAAAGCCGAAGAAGGAAACCAAGAAGAAACGATAAGCAGCTTCATGATGCAATTTTCAAGACAGGGTTATGGCAACCATCAAGCTTGCTTGGATGACATTGGTCAAAGTTTAAGCCTTTCAGTAAAGCTGTGCTTAGTCCTGTTTTGGGTGGGGTGGAAGGACATCCTAAAGTGACTTGAGGATTGTTTGACCTGATCTGTTGTGGATACATGTAAGGTTTCTCAAATTGCTAAGGCCATCTTCTGTCATTGAGGTATGAAGTGCAGGTCCCATGAAAAGAAACTGAACCACAGGCTTACCATTCTTGTGTCCCTTTCTGTGTTGGTTAAAGATGAAAGACTCAGCTATTGCATTTCTTTATTTTATATATCATTAATATGTTTAATATACCTGATATACCTGATTTTATAACCTATGACGTACCGGTATTCATTGTTGTTTTTTCAAACTTGCTGTAATTCTCTCACTGAATTTAATTTTCCTTGGGTCATAATATGCTCTACCAGTTTTAGTTGCCTCCATCAGAGCTTTGTGCCTGATTACATAAGTAAGTCATTGCTGTCTTTTCTGTTTTGAAACATATTTAGCATTCTTTTCTTTTTTAAGCTTCAGGAGGACTAAATGAATAGGAACTCTGATTCCTACTCAGTGAAACAGAAACACCAGTAGAAACTCATAGAAAGGACAACACTGAGATAGTTCTAGATCTTATTCTAATACATATTCCACTCTGTTACACAGCCTTGCATTGTTCACTTCCATAATTGACAATGTGACTACATTGACAAATAATGCAGGAAATGTTCCGGGATTGGATGATCTGATTTGCATTATTTTCCATTGACTAAATGACTTAAAGTCAGTGTTAATCAGACAAAGGTTTCCCCCATTATCCATAGTTTTTTTTCTTCCTTGCTGGGGCTTCATCTTCTCTTTTTTTTTAAATCAAATGCATTTGGATCAATTCAGGTAATGCTATCATTTGAGCCAGCATGGAGGGGCTTGTAGCTATTGTATTTAAAACCATTCCAGGTGGCTACAGAAGCAGTTAAAGAGACCGGATAGCGGGGAAATTTGCTATCATTTCAATCCTCTGCTCTCCACACTTGGGTGCATGGCTCTGCTTTACTCTCCCTTCCTCCCTCCTTCTCTCTCTCTTAAAGCTTTGCTGATGTAGCCATTGGGTAGCTGGCTAATCAAAAGGGGAAGAAAAGAAGTGAGGAATTGGCAGAGTGAGAGGAGGAAGATTTAAGGTAGTTCTGCTCTAACTGCCTCATGGAAATTTGAATGGCCTGAGCAGAACTACCTTATGAAGCTGGAAACAAGGCTGAACTGAAAACCTCTTTTTGCTTCTCTGCCAATTCATCACTCCACCCCCCCTTCTCTTTGGTGAGTTAACTGCCCTGATATTCAGACAGTAAGTCTTTAAAAGGAAATATGCATGGAATAGCGAACCAGTGGTATACAAAAGTTGTGGTGGGGAGACCTAAAAGTGGCAGAAAACCAAAACGACTGAACGAGGACTAAGTTGGCTGTCTGGAATCCTGAACTAGAACAAGTAGTATAACATTTTGTTGCAACGTCCGTGAGTTTTAATATAAACAATAAAGCATGGCTTCCGTTTTGTTGGCTTATGCTGTGTATGATTATATACAAAGTGGGCTGCTTTCTTATCCTATTTTCTGCATGTATTCTGTCTCCATATTATTTAATATATTTAGAACCAACTTCATAGACCAAATTTCTGAAATCCCATGACAAATGTACCCAAATTGGAAAGATATTATATTTGTCAGTTTCACTCAGGAGTACTCAAGGACATCGGGATGGGCGGAGCTAGCATGAAACTCACATGTGCCACATTTCAGTTTTTACCTCATTTTGGTTCTTTTGCCAATTATGTTTCCAAAATAGTAATTCTGAACTTTTCAAATTAATGGAAGAGAGCTGGTAACCTCATTCTTGTACCACTCCAGAAAGTAATTGAGAATCTACCTAAGTAGTTACTAAAACAGGATTTCTGCCATAGTATTCTCCCCTTGCCCTCTTATTATGTAGTCATGACAACCTGTCCAACTTTCTCTAGCTTAGAGTTTGTTAATTGTGCCTTTAAACCTTCTACACAGTATTGTAAAGACCGGTTGTAACACATGATGATCTGAATTTGGTTCCAACTGAACTGAAAATATCTGTTTCTTTGGTAAAAATTAGTACCATTGGTTCCTTATTGCACATTCTAAAACCCTTTTGCCTATACTGGGTCAGTAGCCTTCTGGTATGCTTAGTATTCCCATCCAGCAGGCTCAGCTGAATGACACTCATTGTTGCTGTTCCTGGAGGCAGGTTTCACCCTTCATCATTAAATGAAGTTGTATCACGCGTTATATCTGTAGAACCCTCTGCTTACATGGCTTGGAAGAACTGTCAGATATTTTTGGAGATTCTGTCTCTGGTAATAAGGAACTCTTATGATGTAAAGACTAAAAAAACAATAGGGCTGTTAGGTAGCTTATCTGTCCAGAGTGACACAGTTCACTACGGACATCTAATTTTAGTCCCTCCGTGAAAATATTTTGAAACTTTGGAGAATTAGCATAACATCATCAGGAATTCTGTCTAGATACAGAAGAACAGATGGATAGTTCATGGTTTAGTTATCTGGCTGCGGAGCCAGCAGTTAAGGGTTCAGTTCCCCACTCTTGATAGGGGCTCGACGTGATGATCCATAGGGGTCCATTCCAGCTTTGCCAGTCTAAGATGGTGAGGAGGATGATTCCCACAGGTTGGATCAATCAGAACCCACAATCATATTTGGGGTTTTTAGCTGACGATGTTTGCAGATATGTACAGTAACAATAAAAATATTTAAATAGTTCTTTAAAATTTGGCATTTACACTGCTTTTTAAAAAGGAATTGATATTGAGAGCGGTAGCTGTATTAATGTGTTTCAACAACAAGCACAAAAAGACAAGTATTGTGGCATCTTGAAGATTTATTTCAGAATTAGCAGCCAACTCTGATAAATATTTCCTTTTCAGGAGTGGAGGTGGAAATAGCAAAGAAATATATACACCTGGTCACATGATTGGCCAAATAAATTAGCAAATATAAAAATAAAAATTGTATCAAACATACTTTGATAAGAGAAGTTCTTAAATTAGGAGAAGTACACTCCTGGAAATTATTATATATGGGGCATCTGAAAATATAATGTTTAAGATTTTCAGGTTCAGGGCAAACTCCCAACAGAAAAATGCTGGAATGTGTCAGCAAGTAATATCCAGTGTGTTAAAATTTGGAAATGTTCAGATTTTCTGGGACTACAATTCACAGTAGAGCTGGCTGGATACGTCTGAGAGTTGTATCCCAAAAAATACAAATCTTGAACATTTTCTGAAGGTCAACAAATTTTAGATATGTGAAATAATCCACAAATTATGATGCCTGTTTACATCCAGTGTATAAACACAGTAAGGCAGTAGACTCGGGTGGGTGAGTAGAGGGAATTCAGTGCATGTCTTTCCTGTCCAGCCATCATTCTCCCAAATGTTCACTGTAAATCAGCCACCTCACAAGCAAAATGAGAATGCAGTTGTTTACCAGACCTGCCTGCAGAGGACTGAGCCACCATTTGCATCCCCACTGTTGTAATGCCATTGCTGCTATATGACTGGGGGAATGGAGGAAGGGAAAAGTTATACAGTATTCTTGGTCATGAACATGCTTGTGCCCAGAGCCTCTGATCTTCAAATCTCGTGATTTATACTTAATTTGCCTGAACTTTATTCATAATTTACCATATGATACATTTTTATGAACAGTTGCTTGTCAAAGATTTTGAATAAAATAATATGTATATATCTATAAGAAGCAGAGCAGAGTAGGAGAATTTAGATGGATAGGCTTTCTTTCTTTCTTTCTTTCTTTCTTTCTTTCTTTCTTTCTTTCTTTCTTTCTTTCTTTCTTTCTTTTAATTAGACCTTCTCTAAACATAGAGGTCCCACCAATCATGTCTGCTTAGAAGTCATGCATCACAAACTTCTTAAACCCTCCTAATCAAAACTCTGCAGGTCTGGCAGGAGCTAGTCAAGGACAAACAAAAGGCACTCTGAATATTGTTAGAGACATTCATGCTTTCACTGTGACTGTGCAGCTTCTGGGGCTTGGACAATTCACATTTCATTGTATTTGAAAATATTTCTACTTTACTTTTGGGCTTTAGCAAAAATCCTCAAAGCAGCAGATCAAATGTTACACATCCAGTATTACCCCAAAGTGTTTCTGCAGTGTAGTTTGAATAACCCATATTTTGCTTTTAATGGCCTGGAAACTGCTAAGCATTTGCCACCATCTTTGGAGCTCATCTGTTGCAGCCTTTCCCATTCTCAGATGCATGGCCTGCAACTCTCTTCTGCCCCACCATTCCTGCAAAGAGGATGGGAGTTATAGTCAGAGGGCACAGACTCGGGAGGGGGAGGAATGCGCCTTGTCATAACCCTTTAGAAATGTCAATTTTCTCTTGGCACCACTTGCCTGTGTGCCTCATCTCATACAACGATTGCTGAGAAGGGAAGTAAATAACAGCAAGATGAAATTAACTTTGCTTCTCATGGAATGAATTTGGTTCGGAGAGGAGGAAGCCATAATTAAAGTGCTCCTTAAGAGAACAGTTGTGCTCCTGTGTTATTTCCTAGTCTCTTTTGGTGGGCCCTACTTCAAACGCTCCCAAAGGACAATGCCCCAGATTTCTGCAATGAATCTTCTGCTCAAGTCAGTTTTCTCGCTTTCAGCAACAAGCAGCTAGAACGGTGTGCTGTGTTATACGTGGCCTCCACCCCCCCATTTTTGCAATGCATCACTGCAAATTAGCTCCCTCCCTTATGACCTGCTCGCATTTGTTGTCCCTTTGACTGAAAGTGATTATGTTAACAATGCGTCTTTATGCAACTGCTATTGTGGTGGCACAAAATTCCCCTGAGGCCCAGTAATAAGTAGCTCATGACCAAAAAAATAAAAATCGTGGTGGGCACAGTTCATTAAAATCCATATTAATCTTACTCGGATCTTACTCGCTTCCTTCTCATTGCACTCACTTTTTATCAGCCTCAGGCGCACCCAGAAAGGGATTTGTGCATAGAAGAAAATGAAGCAGAAACCTGTGGCCAAGTTTGGAAGGAGGCAAGTGCCGCCATTCCAATTTTTTTCCCTCCAGCTACTGGAAGCAGGTGATTTATGGCTGTTTCTTAGCAGGTTGTCGTATTCCTAATAAAGCAAGAATGTAGAAATTGAACCAGAGCTTGGGAAACTTACTTATTTGGACTGCAGTGTGGGAGAATGAGATAGGTGGTTGTTTCATTCATTAATATCTTTGATTTATATCCCATGATATTCCCCCAAAGCTGTAAGCAGCTTACACAAATATCTTCAATTTGTATCGGCAAGCAGAGGTGTGAGAAAGGCGGCGAGGCAGGAGCCCCTCACGCTGGAGCACCGTCCATCCTCGACCGAAGAGATAAAACAGAAGGAAGAGACAATTCCAAAATAGACCAAAAAGGGGATCAAGGTATACAGGCAGAAGAGAAAGAACAAGAACCTTTACTGTCATGAATGAGGGAGATGGGGATAAAGGAGAAAAAAGAAGAAAGGGCGGGAAAAGGGAAGGAGGATGGGAGAATCAGAGAGGCCAGGCCAGGGGAGATTATAAAGAGGGACGAGCCCTTACCCCCTGGATGGGAATGGATCTGGATGAAGGAACGTTGGAACGATAGATGAGAATCAAGGTTCCCAGGGTAGAGGCCGATTACCGAGTAAGATCTGCCGTTCCTGTTAGTCCTTCCTACTGGGGAGAAGTAGAGGCTAAAGAGTGGAGGAGAAAGTTAAGAGAGGAGAGGGAGAATGCAGAGGAGGAAAAACGGAGGAGGAACGCATGGAGAGTTCTGGAGACGAAGACAGAGGAGAAGAGAAGGGATGGTCAGTATTGGATAGGCCAGGGAGTCCCCAGTAGGATGATGATGTTCTATGAAGAGGGACCATTCACTCAATACCGGACCCAACGACCACTACCTTAAGATAATGGCTCCTTATGGACCTACCAGGACCTTGGAATACCAGTTATAATAATCCTTTTGTTACTGAAGAGTGGAAGCCCCTGATTGCCCCATTGGCAGATGGAGAAAGAGACACAGATTTAGTTAAAGACACCAGTTTGTTTGTGACTGATACAGTAAATGTTCCCTTGTTGCATGAGCAACCCACACCTTCTGTACTTCTTGCATCTGAACCAGGATTACCGAACCTCCACAAGAGAACATTTACTTCTTTAAAGTCCCACCTGGATGTCAAAGAACAGAGAAACCAGAGGAAAAAAACCCATTGTGGTCATGTGTGAGCTGTATGCAGAGAGGATGCATTCAGAAAAATAATACAAAACAACTTTGTATTTTAAATTAGAGTAGCACTAAATGTTCATCTGTGAACGCTATGCTTTTGGGAGGAACAAAATGTCCCCCCCACACACACACACACAATGGCAGTGTTTGCAGCTATTGTTTCCCTGGACTGCTGTTGCACTGGTGTCATTTTCCCCCCTATTATATTCTCCTTCCTTGAGCATTCCCAGCCAT